TCTGCCATTGGAAAGGAAAAGGCAAACCTCGAAGAGCGTGGGCTCTTCAGTGGCACGGGCCTGGGGTCGTCATCAGGTTCGAAGGGTCCGCGAACGTCTGGGTCCGACGTTGCCCCAGGACCGCGAAGGCCAACCGCGCGCACTTGCGACGTGCCACAGCCTCGGGGCCAGCGCCTTTCAGCCAGGTGCTCAATGTCCTGAACCACAACCTGCCGTCGCTACCAGGTCACGCCCCAGGTGCGCCGTCAATTGATCGACCGCCGTCATCGGGCCCAGATAGTGCACGCGGTGCGCCGACGCCACCAGGCGCTGGAGAGGGGCGCGGTGGGCCACCGCCTCCTGGCCTTGGAGGCGGAGGTGGACAAGCACCGTCGGGAGGCGACGGCGACTCGTTCCTAGACCTGGTGCTTCTCCGCAGAAGAGACCACGTGCTGCCGACGTACCTTCAGCACCACATGCACTTGCAGCTCCTAGCTCACCTCCATCCTGCGAGTCCCGCCTCTTCGGCAGCGTCGAGGACGCGCCTGCGCATCGCCGCGCGCACGAGTTCGCCGAGTTGCTTGCCCGGACACAAGGCGACGCGGAATTCAGTGCGAGAAGAGGAGCTACAAGCAGTGGAACGGCCCCATCATCTTCGGGAGGAGAAGCTGCACCCCCTGCCCGACCGCAAGACTCAGGTGCCACCGCCGCTCGATCCACCGCCGCCACCACCTGCGCATCCACCACTTGAACCTGCCGCAGCAGCCGAGTCCGAGAAGGCGCCGCCATAACCCGCGCCTCAAAGCCTGGTCGATCACGACCAAGACAGCAGCCCAGTCGAGGACGACCAAGACAGCAGCTCTGGATCAGAGATGATCCGGGATGAATCCAAGGCCGAACATGAGCAAGTAAGTCGAGCAGCGGCGGCTCGGTGACCGCCGGAAGCCGGGGGGCAGCGCGGGACGAGGACGAAGCGCCTGCCGCGGTCAGAAAATGCTACCCGAACGCCCCAACGAAACCTCCAAGAAGAGCTCGACCCACGCGAGCGAGCCAAACTGCGCGAGGAGCTGCGGGATGACGCGCCGAAGGGCACCAAGAGGCCAGAGGATGCGATGCGCGTCGCCCGTCTTACCGGAACGGCTACGCCCATAATCGCGAGGATGAGGTCAGTCCGCCCATCAGGCTCCGCGAGGCCTTGCCCGCAGGGGGCGCGCCCATCAACGGGGCTGAGCTGAAGGAGATCCTGCGTTGCGACCCTGGAATGCGCCCAGCGGGCACGCGCTAGGTGATGGCCAGGAAGAGCCAGGACAATCTAAAGGCCCGCCTCGTCGCTCAGGGGCGTCTAGAGGACAATTCGCGCATCGGGGCTGACGCGCCTACCGGGCTGCGGGGCGCCAAGTACCTCGCCCTGGCCGCCGCGGCCCAGCGGGGCTGGACCTCGCGCCATTCGACGCGATGACGGCCTACCTCTAGTCTGGACACATCGACTCGGCCTGGCGAGATCACGACGACCACCGGCGCGATCTACGGGGCGCGCGGCGCCGGCTGGCAGCGGCACTTCCACGCGCAGTTGGCGTTCAGGGGGCACGGCCTTCTCGAGAGCAAGCTTAAGCAAGCTCGATTATTTTTCGACGTCAGGGAATCGGTGCGGTGGTCCACCCGCACGTGGACGGCTTCTTGATCGGCCGCCGCAGCTACTTCAGACTCTGGAATCCACGATCGCCACATTGGAGAAGTAGCTGCTCCTCAAGAAGGCCGAAGGGATCATCAAATACTGCGGCCGAATTGTCACCGAGCTCGACGACGAGTTCAGGGCGAACCAAGCCACCGTCGATTCGAAGGTGGACTTCGTCGTCCTGAAGGCCCAGCGCGGTCGTGCCGTTGATGGCCGACCCACCGCCTCATAGGTGCCGAGCTACCGACGCATTCGCTATAAATTGTTGTGGCTAGCAGTTCAGACCCGAGTAGACGTCGCCAGTCCGGTGCTGTCTGCAGACCACCGCGCTAACGTCGCCGCCGTGGCCGACGCAACGGAACTGTCACTTACTCTTATTCCGCCCCGAACTTCGCCATCGTGCTGCAGCGGAACCTTGACGGCCTGGAAACCTGCGCGACGGCGTGTTTCAGCGGCGATGCGTTCGCCAACGTGGACGGAGTCAAGAGCTGGTGGAGCATGATGATGGGCCTCACCCGCCGTCTTCGCGACGTCGCTGGAGGCCACTGCGACTTGCGCCTGCCAGTGGCCGTGCATTCGGGCACAGAAAAGAGGCGGTGAAGTCGACCTTAGCTGCCGACGGCTACGCCACCCTCGAATGATCGGATATCAACACTTGGTTCCGCCAGCTGCTCACTGAGGCCAACGACCCGCAGACGGCGCTCAAGGACATCGACGACATCAGCGCCGAACGCCCCAGGGAGATCTTCAGCGACAGCCAGGGCCTCGCGTCGCACATCCAGACCGACGTGGGGCAGCCCACCGACGAACGGTTTCGCATCGTCGCCTCGATGATGATGGAGGCCGTGCATTCCGACTGCCTCGCGGCACAGTTGGGTACCTACGTGCGCCATGGTTGTTGATGCCTTAACCAACGCGATGAAGTTTTCCCTGTCGGTCTTCGCAGACTGCAGCGCGCGCGTGGCGACCGTCAGCCAGGCGCCGCCATGCTAGCCTCTGTCCTGTTCACTTGCATGGGGGGGGATCAAGGATCAGCCTGAGCCGACATCGGCAGTCAGTCTACTACCGGCCCACGTGCTACATGACGTGTTTCGGCCTGCGCTTGGGTACCGTGTCGCTCTATTCGCCGGCCTGCCTCGAATCCTGCGCCGGAAAACGAGCAACACATCGCCGATCGAGTGCAGTGCCAGTGATGGTGGCGGTGATCGCCCGGCATGTGGCGGACGTCGCCTAGCAAGTCGCCGTCGCGAACCTACACGGCCGACCATTCTTGAGGATCACGATGGCGACGCTCCGATGCCAACAGCATTTACGAGCATGGTAACAGCCAACGCAGAACCCGCATGATGTGCAGTCCCGAGTGATTTCCGACGGCAATGCCAGCACCGAGTGCGCCATCCGTGACATCAGTATGACGATAATCGGGTGCGATTTGAGTTTTTGAAACGGATCCACGCCGACGATAGGGCTTCTGGAGCTGAACGCTTGCGCGGCTGCAGACCACGATCTCAGGGTCGGGCATCCGATTCAGAACTCGCACGTGACCTGCGGGCGGGACGCTGACACGCATCATGGCTTCGCAGGTTCCATCGGTTGCACGATCTTGGTTTCTCCAAGAAGCACTGCGCATTGCGGTGGGGTTAGCCGAACCGCGGGAGTACGACAGCTGCAAGCGATAGAAGCTTCCAAAGGGGGTACATCTAAACAGATTCCCCGAGTGAGTCCCTCCGCTCTGTCGCGCGCTCTGTTTGGTCTGGTCACGACTTCGCGACCCTAGTCAACGTGAGTCCGCATGAAAGAAAGTGTCATGCCTGGCCAACATATTTACACGTAGCTCCGCATGCACATCGCTCAGCTTTTCTCCGCGTGCACAGTTTTCGGGGGGCGACAATCACGCAGCCGCTCCGCGACCAAGCTTCCCAATCGCAGAGCGACGCGACGCTGGAGCCAAGCGCCCGCTGCTTGGCAAGAGGGATCATTTGAAGACCGAGGATTTCCTGCTGCACCCGCGCCATTGCTTGCCCAGAAGGAGAGGTGCCGAGGCCAGCGCTCCTGCCGCGACGAATGAGTTCAGTTCAATAACTCGTCACCCGCGTAACGAAGCGAGCCTTGACGAGCCCGCTCCTGGCCATCTTCTCTCCCTTTCGCCCTGCTTCGCCCTTGCTGCTCTCACCCTTTCTACCATCGCCTTTGTGGCCCAGACGTTTTTCAGGGCCTTCAGCCCTAGAGCTACGCAGTTGTTCGAGCCACGCTCGCAGCGATAAAGATAGTGGGCGCAGCGTGCCATCCAGATCACAACGCCATCGCCGCAGGGAGATGGGCGATTCCCTGGGTTCCGCATCGGGGCTTCGACCGACCATGAATCAGGGCTACCTGTTCTGCAGCGTGCGATGTACGACTGGGAACGGTGCGCCACTTTCGTACCGTGCCTGGCTTGCTTGCCCCCTCTCACTTATGGGCTGTTGCCGGTGCCTCCCACTCCGCCTCCTCCCACCCCCTTCCTCCGCCGACCTCTTCCGTCCCCATGTGTCTTCCTTTCAGCGGTCTCTTGCACCTTCGTTGTCATGCTCCTCATGGTGCGTGAGACAGGAGAAGTCGGATAAGGACCTCATCCTCCTCCTCCTCCTCCTCCTCCTGCCTCCTGCCCCATGCCCTATGCCTCCTCCTCCTCCTCCTCTCCAAGGCTCCCTCCAGCCTTGGGCCTCCTGCCTGCCTCCTGCCTCCTGCGTTTGGTGGAGCCTGCGGCTGCGACAACGACGACCGCTACGGCGACCACGACCGCAACCTCGACCTCCACGACAACCCTGACCACGATTATTGCGACGACGACCACGACCGCGACGACGGCTTCTGACGGCCTCCGAAAAGGTCCTCATGCTTTGGATCCTCCCAGGGACAAGAGCCTCTCTCAAGCACCGATCTGTCTTCGATCTGGGCAGCTTGGTGGCCTTCTGAAGCTTGTGTGGGGCCTCTTGGGGGCTTGCTGGCTGTCTTGGGGGCCATCTTGGGGCTAAGGGCTCGAAATGTCGGTTCGTATTCCCCCTTTCTAGGGCCTCGTTGGGTTTTCTGTTGCGGGCCCATTGGGCCGTCTTGGGGCTCTGTAGGGCAGTCTTGGGCGCCTCTTAGGCCTTCTTGGGGCAATCTCCGGCGACCTGGGTTGCGCGTCGATTCTTGATCGGCTTGCGCGGTGGTCCCAGTTTGCCTAGCGACCTGTTGATTTGCGATTCGGTTGTACTGATCAGGGTGCTATGCCCGGGAGGAACAAATTGTCCTCGATCCTCGATCCTCTCTCGGTCCTTGACGGTTGATCCTTCCTCGAGCCTCGGGCCTCCTGGCGTGCGCCGAGGTCGACGACGACGTGATCCCCGAGTACCTCGGGGGCAGCTTCTGCCTCGGCGGCGCCCGGGGCTCGGCGGCCGTGCGGCGGCCTCGCGCTCGGCTCGCGTCGCCATGGTCCTGTTCCGCTGCCCGTGGTGCCCGCCGTCGTCGGCGACGGAGGTCGTCGTCACGTGTCAGTCGTCGGCGGAAGCCGTCGTCGTTGGCAAACGAACAGGGAGAGGAAGGAAGGAGCGGGAGGAGGAGGAGGAGGAGGAGGAGGGGGAGGAGGAGGAGGGGGAGGAGGGGGTGGAGGAGGAGGAGGAGGAAGGGGAGGAAGGGTAGGAGGAGGAAAAGAGAAAAGCGGTAGGAGGAGGCGGAGGACGAGAAGGATGGGAAAGAAGAGAGAATCGAATATCGAAATTTGCTGGAGTCTATGTCAATTCTGGGCCCCAGGGATTCCCGGATGCCCCGATCTCTGGGCACCACGCGGGGAGGTGGTGGAAGAGGAGACGGGGGAGGCGGGGGAGAAGGAGGAGGAGAAGGGGGGAGGAGAAGGGCAATCATCGGAAGTTGTTGATTGGTTCGGGGTGGTGTTCTGGGTTTTGTATGATATTCGAAGATTGTGAGGGGCTTACGGATCACAGATGTTTGCAAGAAGCGTGGGCCCCAAACAATGGTCTCTTGCGCTCTCGATGTGCGATATGTTTGTGTGTATGCGCGCTCTGTTTATGGTGCAAGCTGCGTTTTGCAATGTATACGGTGCATGATACGCAGTGGAAGCGATGTGGTGCAATACGCGTGTGTCAACGTTTGGGCCGCCAAAGCAATGTGGTACAAGTTTCTTTGGGCAGCTCCGAGCCGCCACCCACCCCACACAACTCATTGGCAAACGTGAGCTCGCAAGGTCAGGCAAGAACCTTCAGCCTTCAGATCCACGGCCCGGGCGGTCGAGCGATGATAGAAACAGCGAAATTGGCAATGGTGATGATGAGTCTTGTGATAGTGATGTTGGTGGCGATGCTGGCGAGGGGGGCGACGACGATGATGACGAGAATGACTCTTACGGTGGTGATGATGACGACGACGTGGAGGTTGGTGGTGGTGGACTTTATGGAGATGATGGTGACGATGCCAATGGTGCCGGTGGCGACGTTGATGATTATAGTACGGGCCAGGGTGATTAAGAATTGTGCGTTCAGGAACTCTGACAAACTGCGCGCGGACAAGCAGCTGGTTTCAATGTTAGCCAGCGTGGGTCTCAAATCGTGTATGCGATGGGGTGCAACCTGCGTGGGCAGCCTGCGTGGTGCAGTCCGCGTGGTGCACTGAGTTTTCGTTCGCAAGGAGTTGTCAATGCCACTGCACGCGCAATCATCCCACCCCACCCACCCGCAGCTTGGTTTTCAAAAACCCACGCGGCGGCGATTGCGATGGCTGCCTGGCGCTGGCTTGCGCATCGCCGCAGCCGCGCTTGCGCGCGCAGGCCCGCGCGCAGAGCGGACAGGTAGCCGTGCTGACACGGTCACTTCGATGCGAGTCGGTGGCACGGGTGCGCACGGTTTAGTGGCGACGTCGACAGCGGCAGGCGCGATGCCATCTGCAGCGATGTTACTGGACGATGGAACGAGGCGGCAGAATCGTATGAACACTGCAGCGCGCGGGGGTGGGCGGTCAGGTCCAGTCTCTGTGGGGCGGTGGAACCCATTATTCCGGCATGGGGAACGTGCGTTGTGCAATCTACGCGGCGCAATCCACCTTGCCGAACTTGAATTTGACAACTCCACTGGTCGCACAAACACCCCGCCCACCCACCCGCAATTAGGTTTGCAAAACCCACGCGACGGCGATTGCGAGGAGGGCTTTACGTTGGCTGGTGCGTCTCTGCGGCCGCGCTAGCCCGCGCGTGCTCGCACGCGCAGCGACCAGCTAGTGCGGCGCGGCCGACGCGGCCGCGGTGGCGCTGTCCGCTGAGCACTTCCAGCGGGCACTGCAGTGCGAGTCGGCGACGCGGGCTGTCGCGATATCACGTCGACGCCGACAGCGGCAGATGCGGTTCTGATGGGAGTAGCGAAGATGACGGCGATGGTGGCGATGGCGACGGCAAGGCCGATGGCGGTGCCGACGTTGATAACGCCCGCCGACAACGATGACGACGCCCCCGCGTCGGCGACGATGGCCTTGGAAGGACGTTGACATGCGCGCGCGGCCGACGGGCGCGGTAGCATGTGACGCGGGTCACCCCCCCCACCCCCCGCGCCCCCCCCAGCGCGCGCGAGGGAAATCGAATGAGTTCGACGCGCGGCGCGAGGGGCCCGCCTTGCAGGAGGAATTCTTGCGACGGCGCGCGCGCGAGGGCGCCCGAGCGAAGTCGATGCGCGCGCGCGAGAGGCCCGCATGGCAGCGCGCCATGGGAATGTTGAAGAGTTCGCAAGACCGCGGGCGCAGGCTTTTCAGTTGTTCTTTTCTGTGCGACGCCATGCGTTTTGACATGGTTTCGGGCCGCTCGTCCTGCAATCTTCGCGAAACCGAAAATTTTCAAAGGATTTCGGCGTTCGCGCCCGACGACTCGCGCGCGCGCGTTCTTGCAATCTCTTGCAGTGGATTTTCGAAGCCGTTGATTTTTTATCAACGAGTGCGCGCGCGCATTTGTTCCTGGGGTTGGCTGGGGTGGCGCGAAGTCATGCCCAGGGTGGGCGATGGCGCGGAATCACATGTAAATTGCAATGCGAAAGGGGGCGCCATTAAGTCCATGGGGGGGGGGGGGGGGGGGGGGGGGGGGGGGGGGGGGATCTTTTCAACGTGCGTAGCACCCCGCAGTTGCGGGTGCGAGCGAGGGGGCGGCGGGGGCGCCGGCTCTCTGCAAGGCTCAGAAGAAGCCCGTCGCAGGCGCCGACTTCAGCACGATGTAGAATGACAGCGTTGGGGTCGCGGGCGCTCTCCCAAACCGAGGCGGCCCGCCGCGCGCGCCAAATTTCGCATTTTGTTTACGAATTTCGCATTATGCGCAGTGAGTGGGTCGCGGGTGGGCCGCTGGTAGGCGCAAATGGATCGCGGGTGGGTCGCGGGTGGGTCGCGGGGAGGTCCCGGGCGGGTCGCGGGCGGGTCGCGGGGCGGGTTGCGGGGCGGGTGGCAAGTGAGCGGCTGGTGGGTCGCAGGGGTCGCGGATGGGGCGCGGGCGGGTCGCGGGTGGGTCGTGGGGCGGGTCGCGGGCGGGTCGCTGGTGGGTCGCGGGCGGGTCGCTGGTGGGTCGCGGGCGGGTCGCGGGGCGGGTCGCGGGTGGTTCGCGGGTTGGGTCGCAGGCGGGTCGCAGGTGGGTCGCGGGGTGGGTCGCGGAGCGGGTCGCGGGGCGGGTCGCGGGGCTGGTCGCGGGCGGGGCGGCGACGACAAACAGCCGCAACAACGGCAACGCAACGTGCAGAACCCTCACCGCGGATTCTCAGCAAAGCCGCGCACCTAGGGACAATGAATGACCGTTCGGCCCCCTCACCCTGATATGCACATATATATATATATATATATATATATAGATGCGTACGGCGGAGAAAGTTAGTCGCGCAATTGGTCTGCGCGAGCGAGCTGGCAAGTTCCATGCTCTAGCAAACGCCCCGCCCACCCACCCGCGACTTGGTTTGCAAGACTCAAGCTGCGGCGATTGCGATGAGCGCTTAGCGTTGGCTGGTGCATCTGCGGCCGCGCCGGCCCGCGCGCGCCCGCGCGCGCAGTGGCCGGCTAGTTTGGCGCGGCCGACGCGGCTGCGGTGGCGCTGACCGCCGGGCTCGTCCCAGCGGGCACTTCAGTGCGAGTCGGTGACGTGGGCGGGCGCGGTATGGCGGCGACGCCGACGTCGGTGGGCGCGAGCGTGAGATTGGCAACGGCGGCGACGATGGCGACGATGACGACGGCAAGGGAAATCGCGGCGCCGACGTTGATCACGCCTGCCGATCACGATGACAATGTACTCCTCGCGCCGGCGAAGAAGGCGCTGGATGGATTTCGACGCGCGCGCGCGGCCGACGGGCGCGAGTGGCCCGCGCGGTCTTATGCGACGCGGATCTTGCCCCCCCCCCCCCCCCCTCCTTCCCGCGCGCGCGAGGGCTTTCGGGTGAGTTCGGCGTACGGCGCGAGAGGTCCGCTCGGCGGAATGCGGTGAAACGTTCTTTATCAAACTGTTGTTTTCTCAGGAACTGCAAGGCCAGGAGCGCGAGCTCTTTTCGCAACTCACGCTGCAAAAGCGGCATTACTCATGTGTTCGGGGCACTTGCGTTTGACGTCCACGCGGATCCTGTGGTCTTGCCAATTTTTTTTGGGGGGGGCATGCGCTCGCGGCGACGCGCGCGCATGTTGTTTTGTTTGCATTGCTGCGGGAGTTTCTCGCGACGGCGCGCGCGGGCGATCGAGCGATTACGACGTGCTCGCGCGAGAGGCCCGCGTGGCAGCATGTTATGACAACGTTGAACAACCGATAGTTTTCTTTTGAATGTGCAAGAACGCGGGCGCAGGCTTTCTTGTTGTAAAGTTTCGTTGCGAAGCCATGTGCTTTGATTTTTTCTGGCGCGCTCGGCTTTGCAATTCGCGCGAAACTAAAGACGACGCGCGCGCGTGCAATGAGTTCCATCTTTTGCATGGGACCATTGGAAACTACTGGTTCGCGATGAACGAGCGCGCTCGCATGGCATTTTCGGGCAGAGGATTGGGGGGGCGAGCTCCGGCCTGGCCGGGGCGGCATGGAGTCGCATCTAGGATGGCCGACGGTGCAGAATCCCATGCGTTGCAAATGCGAAGAGGCGCCCCGTCATTTCCTGGGGAGGGGGTAGGTCCTAGTTCCCCACCTAGGCTCTGCCTAGAAGGGTTCTTACCCTCTGTGCTTAAAGGGGCCAGGCAGTGGACCCCGCCCCGGGCGGTTCCCCCCGTATCCGCCCCGCGGTTCCCCCCAGTTACATCCCCTTAGCTTAGCGTTGCTTTTCTCATCTTAGGTTAGCTTATTTCATCTTAGCTTAGCTTAGCTCCATCCTAGCTCAGGTTTATCTTAGCCTAGTTTACCTTCATCTTAGCTTCGCTGAGCTTTAGCAGGGCAGAGCAAAT